AATGTATAATACGTTCATTGATAATAAATGAAAACAATCATCCATGATTGAGACAATAATATTTTATGATGACATCATCTTTTTAAATAAGGTTTTCTTAATTATAACCTTTTTGGCTCAGTTATTGCAGGATCAGATGTTTAAGTTCGTATTTTTTTATGTCATGGATCCGCAAACGAGCAGACGGATTACCTGATGGTAAGCAATCGGCGCCGCCCATGGACATTCGCAATACCAAAAGGGTTACTAGTGCGTTGCCAACCTTTTAGGGATAAGGGTTTCGGATATTTAAGCATTGTGAAGGGATGGGGGGAGGTGGAGGGATTGGGTCTCCGGTAACTTCACTCACACGACGATACACAATGCTGTGGTTGTTTCACATCGGTTTCTTGTGTGGTATCACTCCGGTCGAGCCGACAAATTCGTGCCGAAGCATGGCTCTCCCACACCTTGATTGGCCCTATCTGACACGACACCTATAAAATCTCATATATAATATTAGAGAACTCAGAGCTAAGAACCATTTACCTAAACACTATTTTTGTAAAAAAACGTATTTAATCTAGATAGAACTTAATTATCAACAGAAATCTAGATCTAGTATCTAAAATCCTTGAACGACTGACTTAATCAACTTCAGACAGTTTTTTATACGAAGTTGGATTAAATGATTGTTGATTGTGACGACATCAACTAGGAACTAGACTTGGACTATAGCCTAGTTAGATGTAGGTTCAAATTGTATAGTTTTTTCACCTATTTTGTCTAGACTAGAACGTCGTAATTTTCCAGAGTATGTAGTTTCTTTAAGTGGAATATTTTGAACTTCAGTTATATATAACATTCCAACAAGCTTCCGGTTTTGGACTCGTATACCTACATGTAGCATGGAAGTTTATGCTATACGATACGCAAAACAAGTATAACTAAAAAAAAAAAAATTCAGCCCTCAATTTTTTTTTAGGGGATTGGTATGCTTACGAGCCGACGGATTACTTGATGGTAAGCAATCAGCGCCGCCCATGACCACCCGCCACAAAAGGAGTTACGAGTGAATTACCGACCTTTGGAGATTTAGGGATTGGGGTAGGGGTAGGATAGGGCCTCCGGTAACCTCACTCACGCGGCGAAACATATTGCTGTGATTGTTTTACGCCGGTTTTCTTTGAGGCCGTGATATAACTCCGCTCAAGCCACCCATTCATGTCGAAGCATGGCTCTCCTACACTCAATATTGATATTACCATCAGGTAATCCGCATGCTCGTTTGCTGACTTATAATAAAACCATAATCTCTAGTATTATGATTGTGTTCGGGATTAAGACAATAAGCTCGCTCCCTATCTTATACATATATTCGATCCGTAATGTAAAAAAAAACCGAAAATCTCTATCGTAAGCTACACCGTCTTCCAAAAGACCACCGGCCTACGACCAACAAAAATCAGCAAATACGTCTTTTTGCCCGACTCGAAACACTGAACCGATGCTCCTTTTTCGCCATTTTTGTAAATGAGGTAGCCAGGTCAATTAAATACCAATAAAAAATATTATTATGCAGACGGTTAAGATATTTTTAACTTAAATATCATATTAACTGAGTGAAAGTTAACCAATGTGGGACATTTGGACGAGCAGATTTAAAAATAACTTTGTGGTTTTAAAACATTTACTTTAACTTGTAGATAAAAAACAAATATGGCGGTTTTTATTATGCTATTTTATTATTAATTTTTATTGCGGTGTTTTTAAGTAACTGGATGTTTGTGCGTAAGCGTATGTAACTGTAGGTGGAATTGTGGATTCTATATTTAGTTACGATGGAGTAAAGTACATTTTGCCCTGTCCTTACTCTTCTCCTGGCTAAGGAGCTACAGAATTGACAGAGACAAGACCACTGCCCACTCCCTCAAGATTAGAGTGCGTCAAAGAATGATGCGCCTCACGCTCCAGCCGCCGGAGACATTCTGGCTATCATAACTACAAAATATTGAGCAAAAGTAGCTCGCTGCTCGACCAGAACTAGACCTAAGGGCATTGGAACGCCATCTCCTCTTTCTGCGAAACAGTAATGCTCGTGAAGAAGGAAGCAGAACGCTAAAAAGACTACCCTCCTTAGGGTCCAGTCGCCGCAGTAGGCGACACTCCAGGTGTCGGAGATCGAACGACGATCTCATGTCTGCAGACGGCAAGCAAGGGTAGTTCGCCACTCGAACAGAACCAGACCCAAACGCCGTGTAATGTTCCGCTAACCACTAGACTACCACAGATGGAGGCCACCAGCGCCGTTGACCATTAACGGCTGCGGATAAAAGCCTAAGGCTCTCTTTTGGGACATTATAATGGGAAATCATTATAATGTTCTTTCAAAAGAAGAGGCATTCGAACAGATGGGTTACCTGATGGTAAGCGATTAAGGTAATAATTATAGATCACATAACAATAAATGACGGTGTAGTTTTGTCAGTAAACATTATTCAGTCGTAAATAGAGCGCTATTTTCAGATGTAACCGCTAATGTATGTTGTATACGTCAAATCCATATACAGTTGTTTTCAATTTGTTGCTAGTAATATGTTTTGCTAACATCCGTATTTATAAATGTACTTAATATTGGAAAGAAAACGGTTTATTAGTCTTTTTATATGTGATGGATGGATGAAAAGAACAGACGGATTGCCTGATGATATGCAATCAGCGGCGAAAATGGCCTCCCGCAAGAACGGAGGAGTTGTTATTGACTGACCCTTTGGGGATTATGGTTTGGGACTTTTAGGAATTCGATGAAGGGAAAGATTGCGCCTTCAGTAACCTCATTCACACTGAGAAACACAACGATATGGTGGTTTCAAGCCAATTTTCTGTGAGGCCAGGGTCTAAGTGTGGGAGAGCCATGCTTCGGCACGAATAGGTCGGCTCGACCGGAGTGATACCACGGCCTCACAGAAAACCGGCGTGAAACAACCACTGCGTTCTGTTAAGCTGTGTGAGTGAGTTTACCGAAGGCCCAATCCTTCCCCTCCCTCAATCCCTACTCAATCCCTAAATCTCCAAATCCCTAAAAGGTCGGCCACGCACTCGTAACTCCTCCGTTGCGGGTGTCCATGGGCGGCGATTGCTTACCATCAGGTAATCCGTCTGCTCGTTTGCCGATATATTACATAAAAAAAAACACAATAGCAAGAAACTCCATATCTATGTATATCTCATATAACCATGATAGCCACATCAATACAAACAAATGAAGGCAAAAGTAATAATTTCTAGAATAGGAATAGTATTAATATAATGATATACCTTCAGTTACACTTGGGTAATTATTTGCTCGCTATCATAAGATTATATTTAAAATTATAAACACCAAGAACATTTTAATGTTAATATTTGAACTCGACGAGTAATGTTTGTTTTAATGGTTGGTTTATTAGCGTTCATAGATAGTGAGCCAGTCATTCATATTGTGGATGAAGAGTATAGCTTTTCTTTGTGGAGGGAAAATCGTATGGATTCTGCCGCGTTGGGTAAGGCGAAAGGGAGTGACAGACCCTTGATGACTTCTGACCCTTCCTTCTCCAGTCTGGTGCTAGGAAAATTGCTTATAATACCTATTCAATAAAAACGGCAAAAGTGTGAGTTTAAGTGTGAGTGTGGGAGAGCCATGCCTCGGCACGAATGGGTCGGCTCGACCCGAATGATACGACGGCTTCACAAAAAACCGGCGTGAAGCACACACACTTATTTTGTGTTTCCACGTGTGAGTGAGGTTATCAGAAATAATCAATTCATTTTTGCAAATAGGCCATAACTTAAATTATGCATATGTAAAAAATTTTATGAAACCGGCCTTTTCCTATCTGACTACTCTGAGAAGGAATGCCGAAACAAACTTAGACAACTCTTTGTTACTGCGAGTGTCCATGGGCGGCGCTGATTGCTTACCATCAGGTAATCCGTCTGCTCGTTTGCTCAGATATAAAAAAGGTGGGCTTGAAACCGACTTTTGCTTAAAAGTTTTTAGATTTGAAATCGCGAATCCGCTGTGAGCGTTTGTGGCAATTAATGCTAAAACCTTATCCGTGTGAGAAGAGCCATTTGGTTAGATGAGGGCACTTACAGGCTGACAATCCACACTAGTGATATTCTGCCAGGCCGTTGTATCACTCTCATCGGAGTTGCCCGTGAATGCCGAAGTTTGGCTATTTCATGATAAGATGAAAGCGTATGCTAGGCAAGCTAGGCAAACGTAGTGTATGACGCCCTCCAGCTAGGTGGACTGAGGATATCCGCAGGGTAGCTGGCAGTGGTTGGATGAGAAGAGCCGAACATCGAGCTCAGTGGCGTGCGATTGGGGAGGCCTATGTCCAGCAGTGGACGACAACAGGCTGATGATGTATGCTGATCTCTTTGAGGACATCTCCAAAAGCAGGTGGTTGTGCTCTCTATTTGAGGGTGAATGATCTGACTCCCATCCAGGGTGGGACGAGAGGAATGTCAGACTCTTACTGACTAAAAACCACCCCGTCCCTTGTTTTGATCCATGTCCACCACGGCACACGCACTTGCATTTACAAACCCGGCAAAGATACAAAAATGAGCAGAAAGCTAAAGAAAACCCTGCTAGCTATATGATATTCTGTCTGGTTCATATAAAGAAATATGATAATTGTATCAATTAATATAGTTTCCTCAGTATAACTCTAAATGGATATTTTTCTAATAGGTTATAGAGAGACCATATTGCAATTGTTTTCTGCCATGACATGTTAAAAAAGGTTATATAGCTCATTTTGTGTAACAAGCTGGCTGGAAATTTTAAAAGAAATTGAGAAGGCATTCATTTATAAATACAGATTATTAAATAATTCATATTGAATAAGAAATGTAGTATGAACATTCTCTTGCAGGTTAGAATGACGTTTTTTCCACTTTAAACTAATTTCACGGGTAAGGTTAGGTTGCACTCGGTTGCAATAAAATTAAATGCATAAGTAAGTACTTACCGGAGCTGAGAATGATGAAACACTGTAAAAACTCACTGAACGGCTTATAATAATAATTGAAACTTCAACCACAAACTATTTTATAGCGAAATATAAGAAATATTGTATTTTATAAGTACAACAATTTAACATCTTCAAAAAAATAAGGTTTTATTACAAAAAAACAAAATCGAACACGTTCGAAACGGGAGCACAGTGAACGCGACGGAACGGAAAAAATATAATTAAAAAAAATATTACGATAAAACGGGCACAGATTAAAAATCACAAGTGACGTTTCAATCACAAAATAGTGTTGTCCCACTACCGAAATGTTTATCGAGTCGATACGATAGTATATATGTATATACGTGTCTTATGTTCGAATGCGAAATACGAAGTGAGGCACTAGTGTTGCGCCGGCGACTTATCAGTGGCTTAAACTGTAATATCAACATTGTCAGTAGAAGATTGTGCAGTTGTGAGGTTATATCGATTTTCGATGATTACGCATTGCGGGAAATCGGGTGACAACGTGGGAATCCGATGTGGCGGCATTCGTCGATACTTACATATCAAACGAATTAAAATTGCTTATATTCATTTCTTTATAAAGGTTATTTACGTATTATAAGCATTTATACTATCGTTTTAATATATACTAGAAGTAAAGTTGAATTTAGAATAAGATAAAGCGATTTTAATATCATTTTGTAACATATATGTCACTTATAGGTATCCAATTACTTTCATGACCTAAAAGGCTTACCTTCTAGGTAATAAAAGTTGTAATTTTTCAATATTAAAACTAGGCCAAATTAAATCGTATAATACTACAATTATTATCATTTCCTCGATATATCGTTTTCTTGTGTCGATTACACCACTTATCTTGTAGTAGCGTGATGCCAGATAACCTATAACCTTCCTTAAAAATTAGGCTATCGAATACAATAAAAAAAACGTTAGTTAGTAATTATAATTAGTTTCTATTACAAAGAAATCAAATATTTCTAATATTTCCTATCATTGATATGCAGGAAGAAATTGTAAGAGAAATAATTATATAGAAGACCTATGTACTTAAAATGTGTTTTCTTGTCTGCTATTTATTAACACATAAACAAATATTATAATTCTTCAGATTTTACAAAACCATTTAAAGAAACTTACCTTGACATGTAAGTAGGGTATAATTGTAACCTAAAAACGCAAAAACTGCTAAACAAAATTCGGAAGAGCACATGGACAATGTTATCATGTAAAAATGTGTCGATGTTTCATCAGATTATCGATACAATAAAAACGCACAAATTCAAGACCACAATAGGTAAGCCATGTCGGTCCATTCTTTCTCGAGTTTAAGCGGGACTAATGAACAGAAATAAAATTTTTATACATATAAAAAAAGAAGATTAAGCGTTGTTTCTAAAACGGGAGAAGACACTGGATCCTGTAACACGGGTCTCACGAAGATCAGGAGTCAAGGTCCTGTAACACGGGTCTCACGAAGATCAGGAGTCAAGGTCCTGTAATACGGGTCTCACGAGGATCAGGAGTCAAGGTCCTGTAACACGGGTTTCACGGAGTCAAGGCTTCCAAAATAATTGTACCTAATTTTTATGCCAATAAAATATTGTTATTGTAATCATCTACCATATAAAAATAAGTCGGATTTCCCTTCCTGAGGGATAACTCAAGAACGCACTAACCGATTTCCACGGTTTTACATTCGTTGGAAGGGTCTCGGTAACCGTGAGGTTTATAGCAAAGAAAATTTAGGAAAAATTTCAACTTTACGAAATACCTATGGTGGCGAAACGGAATTCGCAGGTTTTATTAGTACTTATAAGTTTCAAAAACACCACTAACTTTAGACCTTAAGCTACAAAATTCAGGATTCCGACCGCTCCTTATCGGAGCTAAACGTCTTAATATTTAAAAACCAACTTCAAAACAACTCCAGCTCGACTCCTTTACAATCAATTCCTGACCTTTCCCAACTTCATTGAGGTATCAGTGTACATAGTCAATCCTTAAACAGGTCGACACACGATTCCAAGTAAAGCCGCAACTATTTAGCTAACTCGACGGTTTTATATTAAAATTAGCAGTGTTACAAATCGATCGGGTGTCACGGCGTAATCACATGATTTTAATACCAAGAAAACGTGGTAAAAACTATATGTATGTATATACTTACTTAGTAACTTGCGCATAATACTGTTGAATGTAGGATTGGTATTATTAAGGCTTTTGGAAACTACGGATTTTTTTTTTATGTAATAAGTCGGCAAACGAACAGACGGATTACCTGATGGTAAGCAATCAGCGCCCCCCATGGACACCCGCAACGGAGGAGTTACGAGTGCATTGCCGACCTTTTAGGGATTAGGGATTTGGATATTCAGGGATTGGGGAAGGATCCGGGAAGGGGAAGGATTGGGCCTCCGGTAACCTCACTCACACGGCGAAACACAACGCGGTGGTTGCTTTACGCCGGTTTTCTGTGAGGCCGTGGTATCACTCCGGTCGAGCCGACCCATTCGTGCCGAAGCATGGCTCTCCCACACTTGGATGTAGGCAGAAACAGTATTTTTTTCTCAAATGCCTCTGTCTCTCAGATGCCGCCCATAGAACTGAAACCCTTGAAGATACAAAAGGAAAAATGGAAGTTGAATGTTCATCTATTTTTTTTTTAGTTTCTATATTAATTTAAGTTCTTATTTTTCAATAGACAGATAAATGTTATGTGAGGAACAAAATTGTCGCTGTAACTGTCTTATACAAACATTTCTGACGAGACAGCATCATAATTATTCCCCACTTTTATCAAACTATTGGAAAATCAGACCTAAAAATTTCGTTAAGTTGAATGGTACTATTTGGGTTTGGACGAACATTCGTCTACACGATCAATGACATAAACTAAGAAAAAGAAGAAAGAAAAGGAAAAAACAATGTTTATAAAACTTTAATTTAAGTTTTCTGATCATAGATGGCGTTAAGATCGTTTAAAGCCCACTAGGCCAAAGACACCTGTCGATTTCTTCCAAGAATAATTCTGAATATTAACGATTCGGTGATTTCTCAGTAATCAACTAAACAACCGGTTATAACAGGATACATTCTGATAATGACTTAGTTACTTATAGACTGTTCAACAAAAACTTATGACGAATTGTCTAGAAATCGATGACGTTGATTTAGCTGTTTTGTTGTATTTTTTGCTATCAAAGATAAAGATTAAGATTAATGTCTGCATTGTACAATGATGTACTGCGACCTGGCTTGAAGCAGGAGAAGTAACGGGGTGGTTTTTAGTCAGTAAGAGTCTGACACATCCTCTCGCCCCCCCGTTGGGGTGGTAGAATCATTTGATTCTCAAAAATGTTTTGCATAGTGACTGACTCATTGACTGCTGTGTGAGCAGCTCGTTGTCTTTAGCAGGTGGTAGGTACTTTGATATGGTTTTGACTACCATATCATTAGAAAAAGTTGTAAAGAACTTTTCTTAATAAAACCACCATTTTTTTTCTAGTCGGTTATTCTCCAAGCTTAGGTTGTCTCGTTATACCAACTGTTTTACCAGTTGTTATGGTTTTTGTAGGTTCTTTCTTGTTTCTAGAGTTCCCTAAGATCAGAAAAGGAAGATATTCTGACCAAGAGAGGTGATAATACTTGACGAGCTACTGTCCGACAGTTGTACTATCCATGTTAATCTGTGTTCAAACTTCACTTGCATGATGGTGGATTTGTGACGTCATTAGTAATTTATATTGTATCATAATTGATATCCTAAGTAGAACTAAAAATTAGCAAACTGCTCCTTTTTCAAGGAGAAAAATTATCAAATGACTTCTGCCGACCTGCGCGGGCGAGAGGGAGTGTCTGACTCTTACTGACTAAGAACCATCCCGTCCCTTCTCCTGCTCTAGGTCGAGGCCGAAGTATAACTGGGCTTGCACTCACAACCCCGGCTAAAATTTGCCCCTTTAAAAGGTAATCCATTATAAATACATCCAGGTAAATGACACCAAGTCATATTATTGTTTGACCCCAATCGCCACTGCAATATGATTTATACAAGCGTAATTTTATAATTAGCTTAATCAGCAATCAATATCATTTAGTATTTCCACGCAAATTCGTTCAGTACATCGATATCAGGCGAAAGTAATGAAAGTGCATTGAGTTTTTAAGTTAAATAATAAAAAAAATATTATCTTGAAATTATTTAACGAAACTAAATTTAATTTCCCGCGTAAGAAGTGCCTCCATTTTGTATTGTCGCTTCGTTAAATATTTTTTTTGTAGAAATTTAAGCAAAGTGTTCCAAACTCAAATTTGATAATTTAAAGCAGTGTTCCTAATTTAAATATTTTGTAAGTGGCCAGTAACAAAACAACAATTTTGGAGGTAAGTCTTAGAGTATAATCTCCTTAGTCTTAGCCTATTCCAATTTGCATAAGATTTAAAAATAAATGCTGAAATTGATTGCACAACTTATTTTAGTTATTGCGTTTTTCATAAGTAGGTAATACGTAGTTTTATTGATCGGAAAAAAGCTGATAGGTACAAAAATTTCTACCAAAACATTTTTTTATTGCTATCTTTGAAGACGTTAAAATTTTGGTAGAATTTCAATCACGTATCATAGTTTATACATGGTCAAACTGCCATCAGACGCTACCATGGTTTAAAAAGAGACAGAAGAAACCCACCCATCCATTTTTTATGTCATAAATCTGCAAACGAGCAGACAGATTACCTGATGGCAAGCAACCAACGCCGCCCATGGAAACTTGTTATCCAAAAGGAGTTACTATAGATGCGTTGTCGACCTCTTATGAGTTATTAGGGACTTAAGGATTGATGATGGGGAAGGGGGTGTGTCTAAATGGACGTCACTAGAGCCACAATACAAGGCCATACTCTCAGACATTTGACTCTAAACAATTATAGGGCGAAGATTCCATCATAGTGTAAAAATAGTGAGTAATAGTCAGTCAGTCAGCAATCTATCACTTTACAAGTAACTGCTTGTTTCCCTTAGTTTAGTCTACCTACGTAACAATGGTATAGGGCTGTCATACACTCTTAGAAAAAACACAGTTTTTATTCATTTATTAGGTAGCTATACTCTCGCGCGGATTCACCCGCTGCTCGGCTCCATTTAATTGTACTGTGATGTTTTATAGCCTATAGCACTCTGGAACATTGTAGCTATCTAGCAGTAAAATAATTTTGGCAATCCGGCCAGCAGTTCCAAATATTACCCCCTACATACAAACTTCTAAACACAAATTTAACCTCTTTATAATATTAGTACCTATAGATTTGCTGGCTTTCGCCCGCGACTTTGGTCGCGTGGAAGAGTGACTTCCTGCAGATTTTTAGTTTAAAAACTATCCTATGTCCTTTCTCGAGTTCCAAACTACGTCTGTACCAAATTTATTTATTT